GGTTGCACGAAGCGGGCGTCTCACGGTGTTGACGGGAGCAAAAAGGCGGAGTTTTGTGCCACTCACTCAAAGAAGGGGATGGTCAACGTGGTTTGTAAGCGATGCAGACACCCCACGTGCCAGCTCAGAGCAGAACTCCCGCCTGGAATCACCCTCTGCGGCACGAACGCATAACGCCTGCAACCGCGAAACACCACACTATCGCACATGCTCAGAGCAGAACTCACGCCTGGAACCACCCTCTGCTCGAACTGACGCCTTCCTCGTGCAACCGCGAAACACGCACGTAGGCGACATCATGCTCACCATTCCAAATGGTTTGTGTTTGGCGCAAAATTCTACGGGATCAAGCACACACACACACACACACACAATCCCGAGCACTGCATACGCCACAAAAAGTAGCACTGTTTAAGACATTACGACGACGTATGGTTTCTTACAAAAATCGTACGACAGGCACAGACAATTACCACTAACGTCTGCATCCCTGATCTGCGCCCCTCTTTTGAAACAAGCGCAGCAAACTCTGTGGCCACCGGTGCACGAGGCAAACGCATCCACTGATGCGAAGCAGATTACACATGTAATCCCCGCGCTACGTTCTAAATACTGTAGGCACGGATCGGGTTCAGGCGTGGTAGGTGTCGGGCGGCTCGGTCTGACGTTCTGCCTCGTCTCATCAGCCGACACAGCACCCGAGGCGGCAGGGCGGCTTTCCGTGGACGTCCTGGATCCCATACCTGAGCGGCGCTGATGTACGTGTCAGAGCAAGAACAAAGACACGTGGATGAGACAAAGTTCAATCTCCGACACACGCACTACATGTGCTTTTTTTCGACCCCTAATAGGAAAAAACACATTTTGTTGTATCGGCTATGGTCTAGAGACGTAACTCTACACCTTAAACATTCTTACCGGATGGGATACTGGGTCGCCGACTGTCGCTGAAGCATGCCGGAGGGCAGTAAAGGATCGGCTGGTATCGACGGTCGTGGAGACTCTGGCAGCAGCAGACATGCCTGCTGTCCGGGGCCTCGGCCTTCCACGCAGCCCCGCTTCGACCACCACATCATTCGGAGCCGGCGGGCGGCGTCTCCCGGTAGACAGCTCTGCACCTGGGAGCGACTGACGTGTGCGGCGGCACAGGAAGCAAAAAACGGAAACGAGTCGGCATTCTTTCCCTGACACCATTTAAAAGAATTGCTCTCCCTCTCGTGTGCCTCTCCCGTGGCGGCGGTGTCATTGTTTTCCTCAACAGACTCGTGCTGCACGTCCTCGTTCACGCTTTTCTAAGTGAGAAGGACCGAAACGTGGGGGTGGGGAGGGGGGCAACTTTGTAACGCTGGTCAGGGCCCCTTCGGTTTTACTCATTTGAGACAGAGACCTGTTTGAAAACAAAGCACAGTGTATACACGCACCTTCTCAGGTAATCCGGCGAGGATTCTTATTTCGTTCATGACACCCAAATTGGTGCCAGACCTGTGAAGAGCAAGACAAGCGTGAGGCAGAGCAAAACGAAGGTAGTTGAGGATATGTTGAGACATTGACCGGCTCCAGATTTCTACATCTCTCCGTTCACGACTTGACCATGTCCTGTACTCACGTCTTGTACAGAGCATGGCAAACGGTCGGCAAATGAAAAAGTGAACATGGTTGTGGATGCATGGAGACCTCGAGCGGCGCCAGATTTCTGCATCTACCAATCCACAAATTTCGGGAGCACTCACCCCCCTGTCCAAATTATAAATGCAGCGTCGAGGTCTTTATCGTCCTGGTCGCCTGTCGTGCACATGTTGATCATGTGACGCAGCTTATTTGTGAGGTCTTTGTCCACGCCCGCATCTGCCATATCTCCTATGAACCCGAGGCGCTTCCCCCGCTTCTTCACGCTGGACATTCGTGACCTGCGTGAGCGGGTGAGGAAGAGCGGGGTTTAGGAGGGCAAAGTTGAGAAACCAAGTTTGTGGTTTGGTAGGTCCGCACCATGGATACCAGGACTCACTCATAGTCTCACACGCGTGTCCTTCACGCGCATGCTGAGAAGATTGTGCTTCAAGAGGCCTCAATTTTTTTTGCGCATTTCGCATTTTCAACACGAGCTCTCTCAACCCGGATGCTTCCACCAGATTCTACAGGACTCTCAAGTAAATTGGATGCACAGTACCAAGGCTCGTGCGAGCGACAGGGGCGGTTGCGTGCGTCCCGCGATTTTGGATCCCGCTTTTTTACACGGAGGAGAAGGACGGAGCTGTTCCAGTGCGTCAGACACACCGCCGCACCACCAGCCATCTGTCCGAAACAACTTCTCGCGTGCTGTATGATGCTCGCGGTCTACACATGCTCCCTCCCGCTCGTGATCAATCCCCTTACTGCTGCGACACCGTTGTTACACTGCGCGGAAGCGCCGATCGTGAGGCGAGACATGTATGAACCACACATGAACGCTCTCGCGCCCTGTGTGCCAGCTCTATCGTCTCACAACTCTCAGCCAAACAACTGCTGCAATTGTTCGCACACACACACCTGCAGCAGCTGTCGATGGTTGTCGTCGTCAGCGTGGGCGCCTCTGTCGCGATGGCGATGTCGCGCTACGTACTTCGGTGCTTTGTTCGAGACGAGGTATGGTACGTGCCTCTCCGGGGGAGGCACCGCGTGGAAGTGCGAGAAATGGGTACCATGTTTCTAAATCTGTGTGTGCAATCATGACAGTCCCGTGCTCCTGTACTCAAATTGGAGAGGCCTGCTCACAGTTGGTTGGCGAGGTGTCTATTGAACATCAGCGGATCGAGCCCCCGTTACCAGGAGAGGCGTATCAGATTACGGGGGAGTCGATAAAACGCCCACAGACAAGGATTTTATCTATTCACTCTCCGAAAACCTAAAGGATCAATTCGAACCACCCTTTTGATGTCGCCATGTATTGAGAAATCATTAAGCGAGACGTAACACTTCGAAAGCAAGCCTCCTCGCGCGCGCAAGCTCTTCCTTCGTGTCGGCCTTTTTCGAAGAGGCTCTCTTCGCACGAGGATTTTTTTTGGAGGATGCTGTGTTAGGGGCCTTTTTTTTCCAAGGGAAATTCCTGTACGGGTCTTCGCGACACCTGTTTGTAAATGGGTTTCTCACCTTTGTTCCTTTACAAGGGGGCAAAACCTTTNAGCAAGCCTCCTCGCGCGCGCAAGCTCTTCCTTCGTGTCGGCCTTTTTCGAAGAGGCTCTCTTCGCACGAGGATTTTTTTTGGAGGATGCTGTGTTAGGGGCCTTTTTTTTCCAAGGGAAATTCCTGTACGGGTCTTCGCGACACCTGTTTGTAAATGGGTTTCTCACCTTTGTTCCTTTACAAGGGGGCAAAACCTTTCGCTTCCGCAAGCGGCACCGGTTGGTCAGTGGGTTCCTCTCGTATCCGGGTTTGCAGGGAGCCAGAGGACGGCCAGTTACTGATGAATAATCTACCATGTTTGTCGTGACCACCGTAAATATTGAAATGTGGAAAACGTGTTCATTGTTAAACGATCCCCGAATCTACGAGTTATCAGTTTCTTAACATCGGGCCGTACACATTTCTGATAACTTGAGCATGTGGAGGCAACAAAGGGGGCTCAACAAGGTCGCGTGTCGGGTGCCTTGGTTCGTCGCTTTGTCGAATGGTTGTGTTGCAACATGTACCCTCCGTCGCCGTACCAATTGAAAATTTCGTCTCCAATTTTGAGTGGTTTGGTCGACTTGAGCCACACGCCGGGCACTCCATCTCCGACAGGACGGTATCTCGACACACAATTGTGGCGGCTGAGAGACGACACGCTACCGTTCGCGTTGAATAGACCATTCGCAAGACTAGCGACGCCCCGTTTGCACGCACTGTCAATATGCAGTTGCTCCGGTCCCGGAAGTATCTCCGCGTAAGCCGCCGTCATGTCCCCTGGGTAGCGTTTTTGAATACAATCCTTCGAGGTTTTCTCACCCAAGTACGGACAAATCCACGAATTCTTTGGGAATGCTCGAGTTGCAAACAATCCTTTCCCCGCGTTGACGATGGTCGAGGTTTTGGCTTTTACCCCATACTTCAGCGAGTTGTGCACGTGGCAGAGGGGGGTGCCAAAACAGACTCTGTTTTTGCACCTCATGCCGTTCGCCCTCACCTCTTGGCATTGCTCACAAGTGAGGGGGCACGACCAACTCGCAGTGCGAAAAGAGTATTCCTTCGGCGCACGTTTACGCACAGGCATCTTTATAGTTAGAGAATAAAATAAATTGACGAATCAACGAACAACGTATCTTGGTGCCATTGATTCGTTTTCGGAGGGCAACGCTCCAATTTCCCACAATGTGACCGCAGTAGGCAGCACCGCGAGCGTTCAACTCGCAAGTTATATTATATTTCTTCTTGTAAAATGAAGCTATCGCATCCGAAGCTTAAGTTTCGTGTCGACACGTCCAACTCGCAGTTCGAAAAGAATATTCCTTCGGCGCACGTTTACGCACAGGCATCTTGAAAGATGGAGAATAAAAGAAATTGATATATCAACGAACAACGTTGCTTAAACGGCCCGAAATCCCAGAATTCGTCCTGTAATATTCTGTTTTTCCGTGTTTTTTGCCGTGTTTTGGGGGTATTTCCCCCTCAAAGTGTCCCGATTCTCCTTGTTCATCGCTTAGTCATCGCCTAGAACATATCAACGAACAACGTTGCTTAAACGGCCCGTCAATCCCAGAATCCGTCCTGTAATATTCTGTTTTTCCGTGTTTTTTGCCGTGTTTTGCGGGTATTTTCCCCTCAAAGTGTCCCGATTCTCCTTGTTCATCGCTTAGTCATCGCTTCAAACATATGTTTGAAGCGATGAGTAAGGGATATGAAAGCTAAATATTTATCGCAGCGGTTTCTCGCCCTTTCATGGAAGAAAAACGCGGGAGCGTGGCCTGAAAGACATCATTGGATTGGTCAGTGAGGGATAAACAAGGACCAAGCAAGATTTTTCTTACTCTCCCCTTTCATTTTTGGCGGCCTCGATAGCAGAAACCTGTGATGAAAGCACCTGTCAAGAGGCTGGCGATGAACACGTTAGCCTCGACCATCACAACTAAACTTGCCTCAGAAATTATTGATGAGAGCATCGACGCGGTAGAGGAAAAGGAAGGAAAGGAGACCAATTTTTTTTTCTGTACTCTCCTACTGCTTACTCAAAAAATATACCACCTGACATCAGCGCGTGTCAGCTGCAGCAGGGGGTAAGTGCGCGGACTTCGGCCAGCGGACGAACCGTACCTAAAGCCCCTGTTCGCGCCGAAACCAGCCCCGAAAACGCGCACCCGGTCCCGAGTAAAAAAAAACGCCGGCTTGTGGATTGGAAGAAATCGGATTTTTTCTTGGAGTCGCGCCCTGCGCCAGGCGGGGATCAGAGCCCCCCCGCTAGGGCTCTGATCGGTGTCGCTTGTGAGGCGCGGGTCGCATTAGCTCTCGCTTGAGACGTACTCGGCAGGGGATGGGGTGTGGGGCATTGTCACTGGTTTTTAACTGGAAACAAGACATTCCTTGCATTTCCTACTTTGTCAATCGAAAGTAGTGGCGAACTGGGCTGTGTCACTGGCATCAACTACTAAAATGTTGCCACTAGACAAGATGGAAAACCTACTCGAGATTTGCGAGGAGATGGGTCTTGAGGTAGACTACCTCAGCCTGAAAGCACGTGGGGCATTCGCCTTTCCGATGAAGGAAACCATCAGGGCGTTCAATATGAGCGAAGATGACCCCAAAACTGTAACAATTGTGCGCGACAAAAACGATATTACCCACATGAAGATGTCTGCCACACTGAACAACCGGCGGTTGTATGGGGAGAGCGTGCTGAGCGCCATGTTTTAGGCGATGACTAAGCGATGTTAAAGGGAAATATTTATCGCAGCGGTTTCTCGCCCTTTCATGGAAGAAAAACGCGGGAGCGTGGCCTGAAAGACATCATTGGATTGGTCAGTGAGGGATAAACAAGGACCAAGCAAGATTTTTCTTACTCTCCCCTTTCATTTTTGGCGGCCTCGATAGCAGAAACCTGTGATGAAAGCACCTGTCAAGAGGCTGGCGATGAACACGTTAGCCTCGACCATCACAACTAAACTTGCCTCAGAAATTATTGATGAGAGCATCGACGCGGTAGAGGAAAAGGAAGGAAAGGAGACCAATTTTTTTTTCTGTACTCTCCTACTGCTTACTCAAAAAATATACCACCTGACATCAGCGCGTGTCAGCTGCAGCAGGGGGTAAGTGCGCGGACTTCGGCCAGCGGACGAACCGTACCTAAAGCCCCTGTTCGCGCCGAAACCAGCCCCGAAAACGCGCACCCGGTCCCGAGTAAAAAAAAACGCCGGCTTGTGGATTGGAAGAAATCGGATTTTTTCTTGGAGTCGCGCCCTGCGCCAGGCGGGGATCAGAGCCCCCCCGCTAGGGCTCTGATCGGTGTCGCTTGTGAGGCGCGGGTCGCATTAGCTCTCGCTTGAGACGTACTCGGCAGGGGATGGGGTGTGGGGCATTGTCACTGGTTTTTAACTGGAAACAAGACATTCCTTGCATTTCCTACTTTGTCAATCGAAAGTAGTGGCGAACTGGGCTGTGTCACTGGCATCAACTACTAAAATGTTGCCACTAGACAAGATGGAAAACCTACTCGAGATTTGCGAGGAGATGGGTCTTGAGGTAGACTACCTCAGCCTGAAAGCACGTGGGGCATTCGCCTTTCCGATGAAGGAAACCATCAGGGCGTTCAATATGAGCGAAGATGACCCCAAAACTGTAACAATTGTGCGCGACAAAAACGATATTACCCACATGAAGATGTCTGCCACACTGAACAACCGGCGGTTGTATGGGGAGAGCGTGCTGAGCGCCATGTTTTAGGCGATGACTAAGCGATGTTAAAGGGAAATATTTATTGCAGCGGTTTCTCGCCCTTTCATGGAAGAAAAACGCGGGAGCGTGGCCTGAAAGACATCATTGGATTGGTCAGTGAGGGATAAACAAGGACCAAGCAAGATTTTTCTTACTCTTCCCTTTCATTTTTGGCGGCCGCGATAGCAGGAACCTGTGATGAAAGCACCTGTCAAGAGGGCTATACGGCAACCGGAAAATCGTGCGAGTGGTAGAAGGAGCTCATTGTTTTGAGATAAATTAATGTTTGATTTTGTAAATGACAGATAGGGATGGAACTGGCGATGAATACGTTAGCCTCGACCATCACAACTAAACTTGCCTCAGAAATCATTGATGAGAGCATCGACGCGGTAGAGGAAAAGGAAGGAAAGGAGACCAAGATTTTTTTCTGCTCTCTCATGTTGATTTGTGTCCTTGTCTCCTACTACTTATTCAAAATGTATACCACCTGACATCAGCGCGTGTCAGCTCCAGCACGGGGTAAGTGAGTGGACTCGGTCAGCGGACGACCCGTGCCCAAATAAAGCCCCTGTGCGCGCCGAAACCAGCCCCCGAAAACGCGCTCCCGGTCCCGAGTGTGCAATTCCACATCTTACGGCCACCGAAAAACAACGCCGGCTTGTGGATTGGAAGAAATCGGATTTTGATTTGGGGTCGCGCCCTATGCCAGGCAGAGAACATAGGCCCCCCGCTAGGGCTCTAGATCCACACCCAGGACGGCCAGACGTCAAGAGTGCTGTATTGCCATGCCACAAATAAGCGTTTATCTATTTTAGTAGACACAATGGTCTGCAAATCGACATATATTTTGTTTGCAATCATATAACACCGAAGACGTGTAAGAAGACAAAGTGCGTCTCACGGGAGCCTCCGTGACACACGGGCGGTGAAGCGGGTACTAGAAAGAGAGAGAGAGAGAGAGAGAGAGAGAGAGAGA